CCCCGCCAACAACCCATCGGCTCCACACTACAGTGACAGTGTGTCTGCTACAGGCCGTAGGTCGCAGTGGTGATCATTGTGTTTCAAAGCCCCAAGTGCCACAAAGCAGCTTGAGTATTCCTAAATTATATTTAAAAACAACTAAAGTGGGGGGGAAAGGGGGGGAGACAGGTGGGAGAGGGCAGGAAGGGATTGTGCATGTACTGTGGATCTTACTTGGGGTTGCATGAGGGAAGGAGAGAGCAAGAGCCATCGCTCTGAAAGAACACCAAACTCCAGTTTCTGTGCGCCCCTCTCTTCTCCTCAAGTCCCACACTCTCTCCGCAGGAATTAAAACAAGTTTTAATTAAAAAAAAAAAATAAAAATAGAAAAACACGCACAGCCAGACGAAAAAAAGACCCCGCTGCAGGGATGGGAAGTGTATTTCTCCCTGTATTTCAGCTCCAGCCTTCCCATCCTCCATGGGACCAGGTGCCTCTCCATAGAGATCCCTTGGCACGTGAGGACCACTCGGATCAGGGAAGTCTGGCACTTCTCCCGACAGCCGGAAAAAAAACGCAGAGAAGCCACCCAAGGAAAGGAAGCCCAAGTCAATGATTAGGCTGTTGCCACAATTCCCCTCACAGCTTAAAATTCATTTAATGCTTGAGAAAATAAATTCTGTTGTAGTAATAAAAATCAGACTTCTACCATCAAGTGTGGCTGGAATCCGATTCCCTCCTGGCCCACACAGCTCCTGAAAAAAAAACAAAACAAACAAAACAAAACAAAACCAAAAAAAACCCAAAAAACCCCCACCCACCCCCATCCCCTGCCCTCAGAAAAAAAAGAGAGCAAAGTTAAAATTTATATGGCTAGAAACCATATGATTTTAAAATAATAATTAAAAAAAAAAAAACAAAAAAACAAAGCAGGAAAAGATATCCAAGAAGAAGGGGGAAAAAAAAAGAAAAGAAAAAGAGACAAACCAAAACCAGGAGCAGAGAGTCAGGAGAGGGAACTGGGGGTAGCCAGTGTGGGCAGTGGTAGGGCCAGGGTAGGGCTGGGGGGGCAGCGGAGGTGTTCCCGCACGGCTCCCGCGTCGTCAAGCTTCTCGGAGGCGCTCGCGCTGGGGGACGCAGGCGGCCCTCTCAAACGGCTCACGCCAGCGCAGGGGCACAGCTCGACTCCTCGTCGTTGGCAAAAAGAAATTCTGTCGGGGTTTTTTTTGTTGTTTTTTTGTCTTTTTTAGTTTTTTGTTTGTTTTTGGGTTTTTTGTTTTTTAAAAGAAAAATACAGTGAAGACACTAGAAAGAGAATTAAAAAGAGAGAAAAAGGGAAGAGACTTTAGGAGAAAAGGCTCTTCACAGCACTTCCAATGCCAACTGGAGTGTAACAAATCAAATCAGCCCTTTCTTCTACACTCCTCCCACCCCTCAGAGTTACCTTGTCTGGCTACTGTCGTTTCCTCTACAAGCGGCACTCACTAGCTGTGCAAAGTCTTGCACACTTGATTACGTGCTCAGCACCCTCCTCCCCAACACTTATGCCAGAAAAGCATTCATTAGGATCTAAAGAAATGGCTCCCCAACCCAGCACCTTCTCCACCCTCCCTACCCTCCTAGAGAAATGGAAGCTACCTTCACACCCAAGATAATCCATCCCCTCAAGGTTTTGGCAGCCAATCTTACTCTTCCCTCTGAAGCCAAAAAACATCTCAAAGTAAGGCAAAGGGAAAGGAAATGTACCAATCCCCCCACAGCAACAAAGCCTTAACCTAATACCTAACGCCAGCAATTCCCTCCTCGAGGGATCCCAGGCACAAGGACAGGCTCACCTAAGCAAACACTGGTCCAGTGGCAATTGCTCCTCACTTCCCAAGGTGATCAAATGGCACACTTGTCTACAAGAGAAAAGGAAGAGTAGGTAAGGGATGGAGAGAAAGAAAAAGGCACGAAGGACACCAAAACAGGGAGGCTGCATGTACGTTTCTCTCAGGACATCCTCCCTCCCAAGAGTTTACTGTTCCACTTGTCCAAACCACTGAGGTCTGGAAGGCAACCAGGTGAAGGCTTATTCCAAGCAAAGCAGAGCTAAGACGACAGTACTGAGCATGGCCTCCAGAAAATACGTAACTGAAGAGCTAAGGCGTAACTTGGTACCGCTCCCCTCACCACACTAGACGCTTGAGGCTCATGTCAGCTCCAGCAGATCAGGTGAAAACCGCTGTGGGGCCTGTAGTCCTTCTGGGACATCCAGGCCAAGGCCACAAACTTCGCAGCAGGGACTCACCTGTGATGCTGAAATCCGTGACACTTCTTGCCGCCCTGTGAGGTCAGATGAGGAGACGTTGGCAGGAGCTCCTCGGTGTAACCTCATGCTGACCTTCCGCTCCCTGTCCACTCTTGAGATGGCTCTGGGGGACGTGTTTCCTATTGGGGCAGAGAAACGCGAGACAAGAATATCAGTCAATAGTTTTGGTTTCCAGCAGACAACGGGGTGGCACTTCCCCACCAACTCTCCCACCCCACTCACCGGACTGTTGGATTCGGGAGGTAGGGGTGGAGGCCATGGGCTCGGTGACATTACGAAGACGGTTGGCAGTGGCTCCAGCAGGCGGGCCGGGGGGCAGCGCTCGCGTGGCTGACCCCCGGAGTTGCCCCATCCTCTCTTCTCGCTCATGCTCTCGCCGCTCCCGATCCATATCCTCAGGGTTTCGGGCCGCTCCCTGAGGAGGAGAGAAACCCCCATGCCGCGCACCGCTGTCAGGCAGGAGAGACAGCAGCAGCCCCAGACAGAAAACACACAGTGCTCCATCACACCAAGAAAGCAGAGCTTCATCCCCAAAACACATTCTCCCCCAACCATCTTCCACTCCACCCAGAGAGGGCCTCATTCTCTTCCATGAGGAAACATGGAAGAAAGCATATGGTACTACGGTTGTTATTGCAATCCACGTCTGTGTCCCATCTCCAAATATAGTTCTCTCCCGAAAAATTATCGCTACCTACCTATAGCTATAGATCTATTGACACACATGCTCCATCAGACACACTCACTAATACAACAGTAGCTATACCCCCCAGTTAGCACCAACAACAACTCTGCTTCTTTTCACTCCACCCGGTCCCCTTTCTCAAGTCGCTCACCAGTGGTAAATACAAATGGCAGGCAGTTTCCAGCTTTCCTCCCCCACCTCCATGATACAAATCAACCCCTGCCCCTCCAGCCCTTTCACCACACACTCACAAATTTAAGCATGTTCCAGTCAAAGACGTAGTCATAGGAGAAGCCTTGGCGGTGGAAGAGGTTGCGGAAGAGCTGCCGCAGGTATGAGTAGTCAGGTTTATCATCAAACCTCAGTGAGCGGCAGAAGTTGAGGTATGTTGAGAACTCAGCTGGAGGGAGCAGAGAACATCTGGTTGTTGAACACCATCCAACCCCCCTGGTCCCACTGCAGAGCCACTGCAGCCTTTCAGCAGTGGTGTGCTGGACCAGGATGGCACAAACACAGAGCGGTGTAATGAAACGGAGCCTGCTGGTTGCAATGGTTTGGCCACCGAAAAGACCCCATCCCTATTTTTACCACAGGAAATGTTCACACATCTCTTTTTCTGGCTGCTTCTCCAAGCAAGAGGTAGCAAGTCACAGAGCCTGCTGAAGGAGAGTAAGAATGCAGGCCTAAAGAATAGGTGGAGGTGAGCTTTGGGAAACTCAGCTCAGACCAGAGGTCCTCCTAGTTCTGTAGCCTGTCTTAAGCAGTGGCCAGAAGTTGACCGCTACAGAGGAGAAAGACTGGGGCAAGCACATCTGACACTTCCACCGACTTTCAGCTCAGGGAACTTCCTGATCTGTATGTGGTTTCTAATTATTTAGTAACCCTCAGTGCCTCTCTTCCACATAGCTGTCCAATCTCTCCTTGAACTCCTGTAAGCTTTAAGTATCCACAACATCTTCTGGGAAGGAGTTCCACAGGTCTACTACTGGCTGTGTGAAGAACCACATCATTTTGTTTTGAAGCTAGCAGGAACCAGCTTTGTTTCTCTTCCAATACAAGAATGGGGGCCACCAAATAATCAGCTCCCATCCAAACTTCTGGAGGCATAGTGAGAGTGTAGACTTTTACCATCTCTCTCCAATCACCTCTTTTCCAGGTTCCAGCAAACTCCTTGCTTGTAGAGAAATCACCTCACCTCTGATCACCCTTTTGGCCTTTCCTGGACCTTCTTCCCCTTCTACCGCATCCTTTCTGAAACAGTGGGATGGACCAGAGTTGCACAGTGCATGCAAGGTGCGAGTGGGCCATGGGTTTACATACACTGTTTGGGCTTCTTTTCTTTCCTAGTAATTCCTAACACCTGATTCGCTTTCCTCAGCAGCCCCTAAGCGCAAAGTTGATGCTTTCACAGAACCACCTATTATAACTGCAATAGCTCATTGGTGAGTGGCACTGGTCAGCTCAGAGCCTACTATTCTGCAGGTGACATGAGGACCAAGCCTTCTGCTCTCCCCTCACATACATTACTCCACGTTTACCTGCAAAGAACTGCATTTGCCTCTTCATTGTCTGGTTATTTCTGGAACTCATCACGCTCAGCCCTCATCCTCATTACCCAGAATAACTCAGGATCATCAGCACGCCTTCTCACCTCACTACCCATCCCTCTTGCAGACTGCGTCTGAGGTCCTAAAGATCCCTCTCAGCACCCCTACCTCCTTACTAACGCAAGGCTTGACTGTCCACAAAAGCATCTATGTTTCCCACTTTTGAACCCGAATTGTATCACCACTGGTCTCTTATTCTTCTCATCACTGATGTCAGCAGCACGTCCTGGTTTGGGGGTACTGGGCATTGCCCTTCAAGACTCAAGACTCCATGGGGTTTCAGCAGGAGAGCAAGCCACGCACCAGACAATAGAGCCATCAAGATGAGAGCACTTACAAGGGTACCCTTTGCAGAGCACTTCAATGGGTGTCGACATCTTTTTCTCACTGATCCTCTCGTACTTTTGGCGCTTGGTGGCAGCCTTGAGGCCCTGCCAGGGCAGCGAGCCCAGGTTGAAATACATGAGCACATAGCCCAGGCTCTCCAGGTCATCACGGCGACTTTGTTCTGTGGGAAGAAGTTACAAAGGGGCAAGCAGTGAGCAGCAAGCAAAACTGCTTTGGCAATCACACAGCTTTGGAGGTGAACACGGAACAGAAGAAAAAAACCCTCTCTCTTCTTTGGTAGATTTCTATGGATAGACAAACTTGTAGAAGACATTCCAGTACAAATTCCTGTGGGGATGCTCATGCCACAAGAGTTAAAGTACTCCTCTCCCCATACAGCCCAACCCACTTCATAAATGAATAATTACTCTGACTACCTCCTCACCTGGACAAGCCTTAATTCACACAAGAATTCAACAGCTCAAGAAGTGCTGCAGTGACACTGCCTACTTTGCTCTTCCCAGTCCCAGAGGAAGGGCACCTACGCTTCTCCACCCAGAATGATACTTCACCCTGGGGATTAGTCATAGCAGAGGTAGTCACCAAAAGACAAAGCTAACAGAGGTAAGCCCGACACAACCCCTTCAAGCACATCTTCTAATTAACCTGCTGATATTCTTTACACAGGGCAGAAATGAGGAACTAGCGACCCCTTCTTGTGGTAAATGACTTTGTTGGTATTTTAGAGAAGCCTAACGCAATACTTTGCAAATATCTTTCTGGATTGGTGGCATTTTTCAAGCTGTGGAGGAAAGGCACAAATACAGAGGTATATTTTGAACAAAAGATTCCCTTCCAAATGGGGAAATGACTGTGTAACCGGCATCACTACTAACTCCACTCAGAGCAAAGGTTGCCCTTAACACCCCACTGTAAGGGTCCACTTTTAAATGCATATTTATTAAACAAAAAAATTTTGTTTCCCAAACAAAAACATTCCACATTGAATTTGTCCTCTGGAATGACCAAACCATTTTACGCTGCAAGTTAGCTCAAGACAGAGTTGATGCAGAATCTCAGCAACTGAAAACATTGACTAGTTAACTTGTGAAACTCCTCCCAGCTCCTCCAACATGTTTATAAATTAATCTATAAATTTTGCCAAGAAGCTTTTGCCCCTGCTCCCCTCCCAGATAAAATAAACACTATGAAGAAAGTACTTTACATCTTGAGGAGAACAACAACTTACACAGATAACAGAGGCAAAATTATGGCTTGAGAGAAAGCACAGGGGTAGAAGAAAGACTAAAGAGATTCATCTATTACATTCATTTACTACTACAGCACATTTTGCTGGATTCAGTGCCATGTCCAAGATGCTCCAGATTATGTATTGGTCTGTGGGTTAATTCTCAATGTCAGTTACATGCTACCACCTACCCCATCCAAAGGCCAGTAGATTATTACAGCTACCCCTTACTCTGCTAGCTGACCTGATCCCTGACAAAGGAGTAGCTGTAGCAGGTCACAGATCTAGATGTCCAGATATACCGACACAAGCTGTGGGTCACCATGGGCCTTTCTTCTCCTGCATGCCTCTCATAACCTCCTAAGTGTTTTGAGGACTAGGAGGGCTGGCAAATAAAAAATATTGGGGGGGGGGGAAGCACAGTGGTTGCAGAAGAAAGGGGGGTTGTCATCACTCCATAACTGAGAGGAAAAAGCCTTTAATTCAAAGCATATGAAATGCCATAAAAACGCCATGTTCCAAGACAGGAGTAGAGGAGAAAGCAGACATGCAGATCCCCAAAGTGTCTTATTTAGACATGCAGAAATAACAGCATTTTTTGACCTCACTAACTTACTGCCTCATGTTGCCCACTTTAAAGGGGCTAATACTTCCTAGTCTTATCAGGCTGCTGCCAAAGATAACTACATGATTGGCTGGGAGATGCTTAGATGCTATGAAGGGAGAAGGGAAAAGAAACCCACGGTTTTGCATTTAGCCTAAGGCTAGGATACGTGTACTTTCAGAGGGCTGCAATTACACACCATGCATACCAAATAAATAAAACTAAACAATATTTCATAATGACCTACATCCTGAGACAGAAGGCCTGTGGAAATGGGAGTCAGAACGCACATCCAGGGCCTGAAAGCACAGGTGACGAAGGCAACCTCAATCCTGCAATTTGCCAGCCCTCAACTTATCCATGCTGTAGGTTTAAAGCCTGTAACTGTGGGTTCCCTGTCTGGAGCATAGGGGTGCCCCTCAGAGGAGTAGGGAAAGGCAGGACAGGAACCAGAGAAACCTACTGAACAGACAAATCAGCCTTTTAGAAATAAATTGGATCTTGCCTCCTAAATCTTGCTTGAACTCCACGCTGCTTAAGGTAGGCTGGACCACACATCTCCATTTGTGTGGAGCACAGGAGCTTTGAGCACAGCCACCGACTCCATCCAGAACAACAGGAGACATTCTGCAAACGTATGTCTAGGCACAGTCCTAGTGATTTGGGGAAGGCCAGAATGAGACACTTGAGGTTAGGGAGACTGAAGTCAGTGGGAGACACTACATGTCCTTACTGAAGGCAAGGAGAGGGGTCACAAAACCAAACCGGGCAGCTCACTAGTATCAGTTACATGCACGCAAACACACCTTAACTATGCCTTAACTCAGCAATACGATAGAGGAAAAATAACTGTAAAGCAGGACACCCAATTATTAAAATGCTGAATGATAAATGCCTGATTGTGTTGTATCCCTGAAGTATCATTTCTCAGGTACATGTGGTCATTGTAACCCACTTAAACAATTTCAGTGAGATTCAAATCCATGAGGAGCCTGAAGCACCTATATGATGGGTCACAGTTGTCAAGCTACCTCAAAACATTGTAGCTGTCTTTCACCTGTAACCCTAACTACAAGATCCAGAATTAAACCTTGGGTGATGGTGAAGAACAATAGTTCCTACACCCGGTTTCTTTGTTTCATCTTCAGTTACTATTACACGTCCCCAAGCTATCTCCAAATACTTTTTTTTTTCTCTGCCTGGCCCCATATACCAACAGCCACAGGATACTAAATAACATTAGACAGCAAAAGTGGAGTAATTAATTAGTTAGGGAAAAAAAGTTCACCTCTACACTCCAGAGAAACATTATTTAAACATCACTACTTTCCACTTTTAGAAGCTTGACAATTGTCGACTAACTCTCACAGCGTGCCTGGGACGCAGGCAAAAGATCTCACTTTACAGTCTGAGAAAGAGAAACACAAGTGACGCAAATGCGTGCCCAGAGCAAGTCAGTCCAGAAGCAGGATTGCAGTCATGACCTGTGACACCACATCACACTTCCTCTCTCCATTTTATTGCAGCTTCTCAGCTCTCCTACAATAGATGGGGGACTGCTACTTTTACAAGGCACTCATCCTTTCCTCCCTCACTCACAAAACCCCTTCCAACACAAACACAAGATTGCCTTCCCACTCAACCCAGCATGACCTCTCAAACCCAACCCACTCTGCAAAGCAACCTGGTGCCAGTTCCCCCCCACTCCCAGGGAGGCTCCCAGCCAGCCCACACCCTCACCTCCCTTCCCAAAGCAGGGTCCTCAGAAGGAGCTGAGTCAGGGGTGAGTAGCAGGACGGTGAGTTACCTGGGGAAGACATGCTTGGGCAAAGACAGGAGACTGAGGACTGGTTGCCTTGGATGTAAGGTTCGTGACAAAACTTGTTTCTTTGCAGAGTAAAGTGCCTCCTGGTCCCCAAGGACAGTGCTTCCCCCCCCCGACGCTGATCCTATCCAAAGCGATGCTGTTCCCATGCAGGACTCCCTAGAAATCAGCTCTGTTCACTGGGGCCACGCCAGCTAGAAGCACTCTTAACCAAGCAACATTTTCCTGACTACATACTCAGATCTGATTTTGCATGTGCTGGGACTACACTTCCCCCTTCTATCCCCGCTGCATGGCAACAGCCTTTAAAAACACACAATAATCTGGAATGGGTGACAGAGGGCAGGATGAGCAGAAGAACTTTATGCTGTGCACAGCCTACACTGATACCATCTAGGACACATGTTTGGGGAGGAACTGCCCCCCACGCCCAGCCTCCTGTTACCCAGACAGAGCCCACCAGGCTTCTTCCAAGACTGTCTCCTGGGCACCCCTGGGCATCTATTTCAGACTTCACAAGCTCCAGAGGGTGCAAGGGACTCTCATCCCCAGAGCATGTGAAAATTGACTGGAATGCGTGAACCAAAGCCTGCACAGTCCAATGACTCCCCCAACAGCAAGTCTCCAGCTGTGGAAATCGTCCCCAATCTCGCCTCCTACTTTTTCACCCGGTCACTGGGAAAAGAATGTGTTTCCTCCAGACATTGGAATGCCCAACCCTTAGCTTGCACATTCAAATAAAGGCATTTATTCATTTGCTATTCCCATCACATGAGTACCCCAGCACCTGATTCCTTCTCCCTCCCTAAACCGCATTAATGTAACGTTAAGAGATTTTAGTCTCTGAAAAGTCATAAAATTCAGAGTGACGGTTCCCACGGCAATGCTGCTAACTCAGAAATATGTCTGTCATACACCCTGTAGCAAGGTCTTGAGAAATAGGAACTCCAGCTGCAGCCCTGACACCCCTATCCCCTTTTCTCCAGGCAGGTCGTGTAACCTTTATGCCATTCAGGGGAACTATCTGCAACATGGAGATAATACACCCCAGACCTGTTTTGCAGAGTAACTCACACCCAGACTTTCCCAAAGCAAAGGACATGAAGAGAGCGACGGCTGTGCTCAGACCGATGGCATAAGCAATTTGCCCTTGGATTAGTGTTCAGACATTGTTTGTTCATCCTGATACACAAGCCAAGCACCAGTAGTAAAGGGCTAAGTTGGGGTGGGATGAATAATAAAGTCCTTCAAAAAAAACCCAACCAACCCCACATCCAGACATTTAGCCTCTCGTGATCAGTTCAGACAGAGCAGGCACACACAAAAGAATCGACAGACATAGTAGTGAGAATTATTTTGTGCATGTCTCCTTGTGGCAGTTACCATGGCTGTGGAAGTCTTGACTAAGAATTCAATGGAGAGTCAGTTATATATAAGCAGGTCAGGCCAAAATACAGAAGACCAACTCGGAAAGCTCTACAAGAACTATTTTTACTACATGGAAGAGGTCAGGAGATCACAGCCCACTCTCAACACACAAAACTCCCCATTTCGATACAAATAAAGCATTTTCCTTCTACCATTATACAGTATTAAGCAAGGAAGACAGTGGGAAACTGCTTCATTTTCTGCAGGTCAAATCTTGACTCCAGATTACTGAGAAACCATCTGCAAGAGGGGAGAATGGGAAGGTTTCCCAAGGAAGAACAAGGACACAAAATCCTATGGAAGCTGTTAGTTTAAAAGGTTTGAGTTCCTTGCTCTGATTTTCAAATTCCCAGCTTATACATTTCAGAATAAGGTCTCCCAGAGATACAAACTGAGCTGTGACCACAGGAGCTACTTTCCTGGGTCTGCAGGCAGGACAGCTTCAGTGTTTCTGCTCTTCGGATTTGCCAACCAATAGCAGAATCGAGTCAGCCTGCTCAGAACAGACCCTACAGTAACTAAGAAACTATTGCACTGGGGCCAAAGTTTAGCCCAAGCAGGGGAAAAAGGTCACACTGGAGAGAAGTATCTGGTCAGGAAATGGAAGAGAAAACTGCAAGAGGTTTTCACCTCTGTTCCTCACAGCAACCAGGTATTGTGCATCAGGGGTTCATTCCCAGGATAAGAGTTTGGGTGACTTCAGGAGGTCTAAGTACAGGGGGTACTAACCTGCACAAGGTTTTTACAAAACCTGAGATGATGGCCATCACCAGTGTAAGACCTTGCTGAACTCTCATCACTCTGTCCCAGCCCAGTTTTATCCCCACAGTACCAGCCACAGACACTAAGGGCAGAGCCCTACCTCCCTAAAGCTGCCTCAATCTCCCTCAGTCGTGAACAGGGCAGTGTGGTTCACAGACACATGCATATTCTGAAGGCCCATAACAGCCAATCCTCTATCACAAAACCCAGATGTCCAGGCAGTAGGAAGCCTCCCCTCAGCTTCTTGTACATTTCCCGCACATGGCTGTCCCTGTCCTCAGCGGTGGGTAACAGGAGTATCCCCATATTGCAGTGGGCCTGTACCCTCCAGCTCTGACAGCTACAGAATAATCACTGATGAAGGCACTCAGGAGTCAACACAAAGGTTTCAATTGCACATATCCCTAAAGGCTCAGGGCCTGCGAACATCTCGTTTATATATCTAATCAGCCTGCAAAAATTGTGCAAGGCAGAGTCAGTAGTAGTAAAGTCAGGGAGGTCACAGCCTTGCTGCTGAAATAAGGCCCCAGTGTACTAAGCAGCGCACAAACACATACCGGTGGACTGTCGAGGAGCTCAGAGTGCCTCAAAAGGCAGGCGAGGTAACACAGGCATAACAGTTAAGTTATTTACCCACCATCTCAACATAAGTCAGCAGCGGAGCCAGGCACAGAACCCAATCCCCTCTTCCTGGGGACACACCACCTCCCCTGGAAAGCCCCACCAAAGACCAACGGCAGGCTCACCGATTCCCAGGTGGGTGTTGATAGAGGCATAACGGGCTGTGCCAGTCAGATTCTTGTTTTCCCGGTAGGGGATGTGCTGGTGGGTCCGGGCGTCTCGGTACTTCTTGGCCAAACCAAAATCAATGATGTATACTAGGTTGCCTTTTTTGCCGAGGCCCATAAGGAAGTTGTCTGGCTTCACATCCCGGTGGATGAAGTTCTTGGAATGAATGTACTCAATACGGCTGATCTGGAGGGGATGAATAAATAAATAAAAAGTGAGACAAGCAAGAAGGTAACTTATCATAACTGCACCTGTTAAAAGAAGTACCCTGTCCAGGACAAAGGCCTGTCAGAGCAGGGAAAGGGACATTTTGCAGAGAATATCAGAGATGACAGCCAAGGAAAAAGACACCCTCTGGAGGCAGAAGGATCTGGAGATGAAGAATGGAGATGGAATTCAACCCTGCACACCAGCCCAGTCCTCCATCTTGGGAGGTCACCATTAGCACCACAAGGAAGGATGGGAAGCAAGTTCACATGGACTAAAACTTTGAGCTTCAGTATTGACACCAGCCAACCTTCAAACTTAGCCAGGCTGGGAAAGGAGAGGGTCCAGAACAGCTAAGGGCCTTAAACCCAGGGCACAGGCCGTTGCGTAGGGGAGGTTTAGACTGGATATTAGAAAAAAATTCTTTATTGAAAGGGTTGTCAGGCATTGGAACAGGCTGCCCAGGGAAGTGGTGGAGTCACCATCCCTGCAGGTGTTCAAAAAACACATAGACTTGGCACTTCAAGACATGGTTTAGTGGGCATGGTGGTGTTGGGTTGACAGTTGGACTAGATGATTTTAGAGGTCTTTTCCAAACTTAATGATTTGATAAGTAGCTGTCCTGGTTTTAGCTGGGATAGAGTTAACTTTCTTTCTAGTAGCTGGTATGGTGTTATGTTTTGGATTTAGTGTGAGAATAATGTTGATAACACACTGATGTTTTCAGTTGTTGCCAAGTAGTGTTTAGACCAAGTCAAGGATTCTTCAGCTTCTGATGCCCAGCCAGCAAGAAGGCTGGAGGGGCACAAGAAGTTGGGAGGGGACACAGCCAGGACAGCTGACCCAAACTGGCCAAAGGGGTATTCCATACCATGGGATGTCATGTCTAGTGTATAAACTGGGGAGAGTTGGCCTGATGGGGCATTGCTGCTCAGGAACTAACTGGGCATCAGTCAGCGAGCAGTGAACAATTGCATTTTGCATCACTTGTTTTGTATATTCCACTTTTATTATTGTCATTTTATTATTGTTATTATTATCATTATTAGTTTCTTCCTTTCTGCTCTATTAAGTACTTCTTATCTCAACCCACAAGTTTTACATCTTTTTCCTGATTCTGTCCCCCATCCCACTGGTTGGGGGGGGGCAGTGAGCGAGCAGCTGGATGGTGCTTAGCTGCTGGCTGGGATTAAACCACGACAGTAGCGATGCCAGTCATTCATCACACAGGCAAAAGCATCTATGCACGCAACACCAATACAGGGTGAGCAGCAGGGGAAGGAAGGAGGGATGGAGATCAAGAAAAGACAGCAGTGCCTAGGTTCCAGGCCCCCAGCTTCATCAAGAAATAGAAACCTGGCAGCCACTTGCTGCTAAATGAAAAAAGCCTGGGATACAGCAGTTCTTGAGCAAAGGGGATAGGGGGTGGGGGGAGAAAGGCATGGAAAAGGAGAGTAGGCACAAATGCTTCAGAGGAAACTCACCATCTGGTCTGCCAGGAGCAGAACTGTCTTGAGACTAAATTTGCGGGAACAGAAGTTGAAGAGATCTTCCAGGCTGGGCCCCAAGAGCTCCATCACCATCACATTATAGTCCCCCTCTGCTCCACACCACTTAATGGAGGGGATACCCACTGGGGAAAGAGAAAGATTAAGCCCACTGAACAGAGGAAAACTGCAGCTCCCCTGCTGAGAACATCATATGTAACACCAAATCATTTCCTTTCTAAGGCCCTCCAGAACAATCTCCTTCTTCAACCACTCCCCCAGCCCCATCCTTTCCTCCCCATCTCACCTCCTCCCTGCATCATCTTGTAGAACTTGCTTTCAATGTGGAGCTGGGGATGCTTGGTTTTGACACATTCCAGTTTGATGGCCACCTCTTCACCAGTCGCAATATTGGCTCCTGCATAGAAATGAGGGCGAAATGAAGATTGCGCAAGCTTCCACTGAAGCTAAACGCTTTTAACAAGGCCCATACAGATGCCAAAACCTTAAGATTTGCCCTGAAATTTATTCTCTATGAAAGAAGTAAGATTCAGCCACTTCAACTTCGTACACAGTTTCCAGCACTGCCATTTGCAAAGGCAAGCCCAGAGGAAGGCACATGAATAGGAAACCAGCTCTGATCCTGCAGCCAGGCTAGAACAACAGTCCTACAACATGTTAACTGCCTCATTATCTCAAAAAGCACCAGACTTTGGGAGGTCAATCTGTATGTATCAGCAGCACCTAAACTGAGTGGAAGTTTTAGCTGTCCCTGATCATATACCTAGCCCCTGAACCCCAGCCAGCCCCCCAGGCAGTGATACGGAGTACCTCTTCCCAAGCAAAATTACTGGGTACGTTGTTTCAACAGAGCCACTTAGTTCAGGAGGAGACATTGCTAACATTCCCAGCTGCCTCTGGTTTCTCCACAGCCCTGACCTGCTCAATACAGTCCAATTCCCAAATCTCCAGCTTCTCACTCTCCTGAGGGCTTTAATAATACCTTTATCTTTTGCCAACACAGAAACATTTGCTATATCCTAAATTAGAAGCGTGAAGAAATAAACTGAATCCAGCACTGAATTAAGCTACTCAGACGCCTTTGTTGAAGGTATTGCTAGATGGTTTGCAATGACACAAAACCACCAGCCCACTTGCTTCTTTCTGAAAAGAACTGAGCTGCCAGCCACGAAAGCCAGCGCTCTGGTCCCAAAGTGCACTGTCAACGGAGGAACAGGCTGGTCTTACTCCCGTACTAGCTGAGAGGATTCCAGATGTTTCACATCATCCTAAAATGGAAAGAATTAAGATCTGTACACAGGTCACAGGAATGACACTCAGGACTTGCCTCTCTCTCCCCTCCTCCCATGCCTGCCTCACACAAACACAGACAAGCCCTTCCTCATAGCCGGAACTATTAGAAGTTGCACTCAAACACAAATCAGACAGCAGCTCTGATCATGAGCAGCTTATGAACACTGTCATAAAATAAACTACTCCAGAACATGCATGCCAAACATGAGCTGGAGTCAAAGGTGATGTTTTGTAGATATCCCATAGCTAGTTTTGGTAGGTCTGGTTAATCCGTGCCTCCTGATTCCTGTGATTAGACTTTCAGAGTCCACAAAGACAGCTGCAGATACATCAGTCCATCCATCCTCTTTCACACACTGCCCCCAGAGCCAGGGACCAAAGAGAAAAAGGAAATGTTCACACAACTGGATCCCTTCTACCCCTGGATCCTAAGGGGATCCATCTCCTGTTGAAGAGTTCTGTCTTGTACACAAAGTTAGCCAAAAGCTGCCTGCTAGCAAAAACACGTCATCTAGATAGTACAGCGCTGGGTCGAGACAGACTAGCTGCAAGGAATTTGTAAGAGAGTAACAAAAACAATTGGGGCCTAGGGGGATTGATTTACTAAGAAAGATTAAAAGAGCTAAATATGTAACATAGACAAGAGATACAACTAAGAAGGGTGGGGAGGAAGAATAGGACATGACAACAGTCTGCAAATATTTGAAGGCTGTAAACACTAAGGAGGGAGAGGAATTATTTAGGGTGCTCTGAGGGAGGGGAAGGAGGAGCAATGGGATGAATTTAATAAGGGTTTTTACTCAAGAGCCACAAGAAGGAAAAGGGAGAAAGCCATTCTGAGAGCTAGAGCCATTTGTCCAATGGTAACTTTTGGAAAGATGCTGACATTTTCCACTTAAAAACTGCTGGCCAGCAAAGCAAGTCTGTACATTCCCTTCACTGCACCACAGGACCCTTCTTACAAGTATCGGGAGCGCAAGGAGGAAAAAAAAGCATGAAAAGGGGCTCAGATCACAGTAAGAACATGGCCCTGGACTAGTATCTACCTTTTAAATTAGTGTTCAGTCACTGGCCCTCATTCAGCATGGAAACACCCAGGACATCCAAACAGATAAGAGCACTCCCTTTGCTTCTTTTTTTCCCTTGCCTTTGTGAAGACGTTCCTCCTTGTCCGTTCCCTGGGGGAATTTTTCCCCCTCCTAGTCCATCTGCTGACACACATGCAATGATAAGTCTTGCTGACTTTTGGCAGCAGTAGCATTAGCATTTCGAATGAACCCTGCTCCCCAAAGTTGAACAGTGGAAAGATGAATGAGTTCTCAGCTCCACATTACCCCGTGTCTTTAGGAAGATGATGATGCATCCATCTACTAGGCTGTCTGCAGGTGGGGAGCGTTATCTGTGAGCATGTAAAGCAGGAAAAGGGAAAGGAGGGGTAAGCACCAAAAAAACTTAGATTCTGCAAAATGTGAATATGCCATTCAAATGATCAACATGGCCTTCAGCCCCACACTCTTCATAGCCCAAACACAGGTGTTAGTCTCAGAAAAAGAAGAAACAACCTGTGGCCTAGAACAGCAAAAGTAGGACCAATCAGACCTAATGAGGAGCTATTCTTTGCTGAGGGGGTCACCAATTGAACACTTTAGGCTCACCCCCTCCCCAAACCCTCATGTGTCTTCAGCTTGCTCCCTCTACCATTTTTTGGCTAGAGATCTACCCAGACTGAGACCACCACAAGCAAGGAGGGAATTCAAGGGCGGGAGTCTCTCTGATCCTTTGTTCCACACTTTAACCACCATCTTTTTTAAAGATACAAATACAAAAGCAACAGTTCTCCGCTCCCTCTCCAGACTGGAAAGCACCACATTTCAGACAAACGCAGCAGAGCCTGCCTAGCCTCAGCCACTCGAGAGACGTATGTAGGATTGGGGATAATTCCTAACATCCACCCCCAGTCTCGCTCCGCTGTGGGGGCTGCACAAATTCAACTCATTCATCACGAGCTGTTTGAAACAGGGCCCCGGGGACAGAAGATGTCACCGGCTAAACAGGATCTTTTCAGAGTGGAAGCCTTGCTGTGTGTCTGATACAATAAACGCCGCCCTCCCTGCACATTGGGCAAGCCAACAGGCACGTCCCCCCCGCTCTCCCCACTGCCCGCTCCCCTCTCGCCAGCTTGGCGCGGGAAGAATGGAGGGCTAGGAACAGATGGAAGAAGTCAGATAGGGCGAGAGAGAGTTAACAGGCCAGGAAACAAAGGGAAGGCACTCCCCTCCCAGCAAGGGAGGAGCCTGCCACCAGGAACTGTCCCCAGCCAGCACTGGTCCCAGCATGCTTTGTCTGCCCCACCGTCCCCAGCTCCTCTCCACTGCCAAAGTCCCCTTCCAGCGCATCCCGGCCCCAACCATCCCTACCGTGTCCAGCAACCCTGCCCTGCCTCTTGGCCGACACCTCTGACAAAGCGCCTCTCCTCCCAACGGCCCAAAGGTCTCGGCAATTCCTCTGCAGACTGGGTTTTGCTCTCCTGAGTGAGCATTTCTAGAGGCAGATGGGCTAGCCAAGGCCCACGGGCGGCCTGATCTCATTTCCCACCCTCCCACACCAATGTGGGGAAAGTATCCCCCCTAGCACATCTATCTCCCAAGGCAGGGCATGGAAGCAAGGCATTGTGCTTTAAGCCCCAGCGCAGGATTAACAGGAGTCCATCCTTTGTGTCTGCCCATGTAGAAATTCAAATTTCCTTCTGACAGGAAAACCCAAAACCAAATCCCAAAGAGCAGAGCACACAGTACCCACTGGTTACAGAGCAGGCGAAGGTACTAACGTCCTGAAAGAGACAAGCTGGGGATAAACTGTACAGCCCATGCTCGCCTTCAGAGACAGACAAGGCTTGTCTGTCCCTGCTCCGTCTCCACACCATTATCAAGAGAGAGAACTGTGAGGTGAATCTGGTGCAGGAGAGAAGTCCTCGTGAATGAGTCCCTCTGTCTGCAGAGCAGACCGTGAGAGGATAGCGTAAGCACAAGCGTCCTCCAGACGCACCATCAGAGACTACATGCCCGATCCCTCCAGGCTGGGGAGTCACCCAGGCTCCAAGAAGTCTCGCTATCACTGCTTCAAAATACACTGGGCTTGCACCTCAATGAACATCACAAGGGCTTTGATACTGCGCTCAAGTAACTTGGTTGAAGTCGGCAGTCGGAGGCATCCCACTGTGCTCACCACACCAAGGCACCGGGGCTTCCTCTGCCCCTCATGTTGTTTGGTTACAGGCAAGGCGGGCACAACCCCTTCACCAGAGCCTGTTTTCCATGCCCCCTTTGCACAGGTGGACAACCTGTTACGTGGTGCAGAGGAATAAAGTATCAGGCCTTTCCATTCAGTACCTCCCTTCTTTCTCCATGCGTACCCCAGATGTTTTGCAAGATCCTGACAATTTATACTGTCCTAGAGAGGGTCTGGAAGGCTTCAGGCCCTAGCATAGGTGGAAAATGCTGTGTCTGGGCTACCACCCCTCAATCCCTAGCACCTGGGAATTAAAAGCACTGTCACCTGAGACACTAACTGGCTGGCGGGCCACAGAGGAGTGGCATACAGGAGCAGGCTGCAGTAAAGGCAGCACATGGTGGAATTGGGATCCCAGATCCATTATTTATCATCTTTGCTCATGCTCTGGATAAAGGTGGCAACAAAGCCTGTTACTGATGATTCCCACAGGATACTTAATCAAGAGAGGCTGCCAACACCAATCAAGAGAGAATAATAAAGCAAGAGGGAACTGGAGATAAAAGCCAGAGGTAGAAAACAGAAGGTGATTTACCAACACAGGAAAAAGTAACCTGAACTAGAGGTATTCAATGAAAGGAACATGGGAGGGATGGGAAGATGTTGCAGAACCTAGAAGAGATCAACCCACAATACAGCTGACAGTGTGCTAAGGCCAATTCTGCAATCCAATACAGTGTTGGTGATGGGGGAAGCCAAGGAGACCCAAAGCAGTCTATGCAGAGGCATCACATTACAGATCACTCAAGGGTAGCCCTTCACTACCAGACACTGGAAATGCCATACCTCAAATGCTGTGTAGGCTCCAAGCTGCTCAGCAGATGGACAAACCGGGAAAAACTGAAGGAGCAGCAAGAGTGAGGAGTGGTGGATGTACTTGAAGCAAAATGCAACACAACTGAGCAAATTAACAGTCAAGGAGTACATGACAACCATCTGTAAGTACCCAAAGGGTGCAGACCCCAGAAAGGGAGAGGGCAATTGTTCTGCTGGCCTGCAGGACTACAGCTGAACAGGTAGTGGTGAGAACTAGATGACAGGTAAAGCCACGCCAACTCTCATGGAAGGATTGATCAGGCTAGTGGGTAGTCTCGCCACTCTTGCCCCACATGCTTTGAGCCAATAAAAACATCAGCAGGCAAGGCATCAGGGAATGTATCTACACATCAGTGTGCTGACTTGGAAGAGCTTCTCCCCAAGTGACCTGCCGTGGTAATAGGAAACCCAGCATCTCATGGGCTCTGTTCATTGAGCTCCCAGCTCAGGTCATTCCAGACATTAACTCTAAATCCCCTTACAGATCTAACAGACCTGAGCCCCAGGACTTTAACCAGGCCAGCCTCTTTGACCTGTGTTACACCTCCTGGTCTCAGACCTCTCACAGGTGCTGGACCACCTCTTCCACTACCAATCTTCCCAAAACTACCCTGAGGGAACAGCCATCTCCTCCCTTTCCACCACCCACTCTTTGTAGAGTTTATACCCACACACACCCAAGCTCAAGAAAAGGAGGCAAGAGAGCTGGAGTAGGGCGTATGACAAATATGCTCTGAACAGTCCAAATCTAAATCAGTCTGACCAAACACCACTGTGTCTCCAATATCTGCGAGGCAAAGCTGAGCTCATCCCACTTTCTTTGCCACCAGAAGACTGGCAACAACTAGCAGTATTCCTTGAAGCTCTTTTTCTCTCCACCACCTCCAACCTTACATGGTGCCCACAAATATCAACAGGCAAGAAAAACAAGCCGAAAACAATGACACAATTGAGAAAACACAACCTTGCAGGTGGAAGGACAGAGATTCACACTCACCTAGGTAAATGTCTCCAAACGAACCGCTGCCAATCTTTCTGCCCAGCCGGTATTTGTTCCCCACTCGAAGCTCCATGGTTCAGTCGTGCTGAGAAAAGCAGCACAGAAAGCACAGCGTCAGAGCAGAAACAGGAAGTGAATCATGTAAGACTACAGAAGAGTCCTCCCCACTTCACCCAGAGGCTGGGTACAGTTTTTAATCTTAAAATACTTCACTTTCCACATGGCTTCTATCCCCTCTCCTGTCTCCTGGATGTCCAGGGACAGTGTGAGATAGAAATGCTGCAGGAACATGACCCTTTCAAGCATGTTTTCCATGTTCCCATTATGGGAATGTAGAAGGATTGAATCTCTTCCCCACCATTTTGTTCAGAGACTGGGGGGGGGGAGGGGGACGGGACAGGAAAGCCCTCCCAAAAAGGTTTCAGTGGGTAGTCACTTCACACTACCATGAAGAGAGATGGTACTGCTCCTTGTAACCCACAGGACCTGGCACCTGGACAGCGGTAACCACGTGAGGCACCAGAAGGGACAGGCATAATAAACCCTATGAGAAGGAGTGCTCTCTGGCCCAGCCCTAGACCAGCACCTCGGTGGCAGCAAAGCACAGGACCTGAGGGCTGCGACAGACAGACAGACCGCCAGGAGCAAGCAACTCCCATAACCCCTAGGCAGGGGCCAGCAGAGAGGACAGGGAGGAGACATCGCTGAACTGAACTCTGCGAGGTACGCACTGACTAGGAACGCCACTTGCTTATTTCCATTTCTGCTGATGGGATCGCAGCCTCCTTTGGTCTACCTGAGCCTCTCTGCCTCTGTTGCCTACCTCGGGGTGCCGGCTGTTTGTTTTTAGCAGCTCAGGCCTTTCCTCATCCCTTTACCTGAGGTGATTAGCTAACCCTTTGACCTGCTATACCGCATCAACATGCCCAGGCTTAGCCTACTCCCCTTCCACAGAAAACCAACTAGGTGGAAGGACTATGGCCACAGAGTTTGCTCTCCTGCCAACCTCAACTTCTGCTGCAAACGCCTCAGCCAAACACTGTTCCAGCAGTTCCCCCATTAACAGCTCCCTCTCCCTTGCTCCTTCTGTGGCCACCAACTTATTCTAGGAACCGCGGCTCTTCCCAAGACAGCCAATGCGTCTCCTTTTAGAGGGATTTGCCACACTCCTAATTTATGCAATGCCACATTATTAGCTTACAAAATGCAGACACAGAGCCTGTTGGGGACAGGAAAGGTGAGGAATGATTCATGTTTTCACAAGTAGGTGAGAGGAACTTTCCCTTGCTGGAGCTCGGTGGGAAGGAAGCATCACTGAAGGAAAGAAAGGAGGAATGGCCTTGTGAGACACAAGCACACAAAAAAAATAATCCCAGCTACAGGATTCTGGGCATAGTATAAACCCAGAGCTGCTTCTCCTGCCCCAGGAGATGGGATTACAGAAAGAGGAATGGACGGGCTGCAGAGACGTACAGGGAAATAATCCTATCAAGGCATTCAGGGGACATTGTGAACCCTGAAAGCAGAGCTCCAGTCACCAGAAACCACACACAAAACACTTAGAGGTGGAGTCCCCTCACCTAGTATTTACTTATGCATGTGGGTTTCTGTGTGTCTGAAGTCTACAAAACCCCGTGGCTATTTCTGACTTTCTTACTACAAGGAATGTAGGCAGAGCCTTGGGAACTGAACCAGGAGGCAGGTGTACCTGGGTGAGGGCGCAGCAAACAGACATGATTTTTATCCGCTGCCTGCTGTTCTGTATAACCACATTAACATACATCTGACTTGCTTACACTCCTACTCCGATAAACGATCAAAGGTCTGTGTCCCCGGGAACCCGTCACACCACTGTCAGGAAGACAGCTCTCAAACCTCCTTCCTTAATGGCCATGTTTGCCCAGGCCTGCGAACCCTGAGCACTTCCACTCGAGTCAAACTCCCAGCCAGGGCAAGCACAGCCGAGGAAGCTGCAGAGGCCGGGCAATAGGTCCCGGCAGGGTCCCCTCTGCACCAGGGCACAGCAGTTATTGCTCTGCAACGCCACAGTCCCAAGCCTAAATTTGGTCCCACCCTCCTGGGACAGGCAGGAGCCAGGTTAAGAAGGGTTTCTCGCACAACAAGGCAGCAGCCCTTCTAGCTGATTAAGCAACAGGCTCCAAAGGGGAATCTAAAAAATGCTCCGGGGTGAGGGGGTGGAAGCGGGAAGCAGGATAATGGAGTGAAAAATCATGGTCTCGCACAGCTGTCATTTTGCCTTATCTCCCCCCCAACACACACACACAAGTGTGCTTAGAAAACCTGGGTGGAGGATAGCCAGAGAGCAACAGCCTGGATTCATGGTAATGGGGCAGGACACACACATCCCACCCCCCCAACAAGTGCTCCAGGAGTTCAAACATCTACTGCATTTGCTTCTACTTCACACACGTACCCCCAACACCTACAGCTTCTGCCCTTGTCATCTGATCTTCAGGTCTACTATCACAAAAAGAAAGAAAATTTTACATATAAAATTTGTATTATTATATATGAAATTTATATTACTCTCTCTATATTATTTATACGTGTACAATTTAAAAAGCCATCCCTCCCTCCCGCCCCCCAGCAGGCTTATGCTCCCCTGCCCTGCCACCCTTCCTGTGCTCTCCAGCCAAGGCAGCGATCCCAGGGGCTGCAGGGCAATCATTTAGTTAAACCATTTAGTTTTCCATAAGGGATTAACACACATACAACCTCAAAGCGAGTGTGTGCTCTGCATGAGCGTTTGCATACGTGAATATCCAACATTACACAGACACCTACAATATACTACACAGCCTCAAAAAAAAAAATACTATCCAGCCGCCAGCGCTGCTTCCACACACACACCATTTTGCACCAATCCCCTTTTATATAATATAAAATACCCACGTACAGGCACAAAGGCCATTATATAAACACACGACAGAGTTTGATTTCACCGCTGTTCCAGCACCGATGGCGACCCAAGATGCAGGGACCATCTCGGGGTGGGGGCGCGGGAAGGAGGGCCACCTCGGTCCCACCTGAGATGGTCGGGACTGCAAAGATGCCCCGGCTAGCAAAGGCCAAGCAAAACCAAACCCATGGCTCCATAATGGAGGCTGCTGAGCCCAGCACCGCTCCGGCTTTCAGTGGAAGTGTGGGGAGCAGGGGCTGCTTTGCCCATAAAGGCTTTACACAGCTTTTTTTTTTTTTTTGTGAGTGTGTGTGCATGCGAAGGGAATAAAGGAAAAGGCTGGCAGAACAATCATCTGAACCGGCTTAAAAATGGCAAGGAAAAAGAGAAAAATTACATTTTGATTGAAATGCAAAACATCAAGCCCCTCCAGACCCTTTCACACTTACAAAAAGGAGAGCAGCAAATAAGATGGGGGTGGGGGAAGAAACCCCACGTACAGAGCATTTGGACTACATCTGAGGAAGAAATAGCCACAACAGGAAAACATGGGGGGGGGGGGGGCGCCCAAAAAAAAAAAAAAAAAAATGTCCCTTACACCCCCACCCCCTACAGGCAAAACACTACGCGAAGACAGCCTTACCCGGGCTGTTATTTTTCCGGGCAGGTAACAAAAAGCAGCCACCCCCGGGGAACGGCGCTGAACTTCTCCTCGTTCCCCCCCAAGCTCCCGGCCGCGGACCCCCGCCCCTACTGCCCCC